AACTTTTTCCTTAAAGTTTATTTATAACGTATTTACGTAATGGCACTGGATGTTGCGCTGCTTAATCTTTTGTAATGAGCTTTACATCATGCTATTTTAATTAAGGGTGCCTTTGAAGCAAAATGGAATCATGCATATGCAGATGGAGGGGAAGGATTTATCCGTCCAACCTTAAATCTTTACACAGGCGTGACATCATGGTCATCATCCGAGTACAAATTAATTCCTGCATTGACAAACGCCTAAAATTAATTCTGGTTTTCAACATCGGCTGAATCCCATGCATGTCTGGATTTAGCCCCGTGATTATTGAGGTTGCTCTTTAATGCTGATTGTATATTAGATGGGAGTTGTCGTTATTATTATTTAAAAGTAGATTAAAATATAAAACCAAGTTTTTGATTCGCAAAGCGTCCTATTTTTGGTACATCCAAAGTTTGAGATCAACACTATGTAGTTAAGGATAAGTTGACGACTGCAACGGTTCGAGTGAGCACCGAGCAGCAGCAGGAGTTTTATTTCTGGTTCTTTTGTCCATTGTCACACGGGATTGGTCTCGTCTCTGGATTTGTCCATCCGCCATTGTGCTTCCTCCTCGAGTTCTGTGATGTGATTCTGCTGCAGTTGATGCAATACGTCCTTGTTCAAAGGAAGTTGTCTGGCCAATCAGGAATCACGTCGGGTTCTACTAGGAAAGAGATGGTGATGGAATGATCTGACCGTGTATTATTAGCAGACCAAGACGGATCCGTTTAGCTTTTACCAGTTTTTCATCATCATCTACTGATTCATGCAGCTTAATCAGGATGACATCCCGCTTGATACATTGATAGGATGTATATCAACCGAATTTAAAACTTGATGAGATGAGATTCTTCGTTTTTTTTACTGGTAAAGGTGACCTACGAGTAGGTACACATATGCATATCTACATGTATACTTACATACATCAAGTACTTATGTATATATTCTGTACACCGTATTCCATATACCGTAGGATAAGTATTAAGCGTCTTTGACCGTTGACAAAGTTGAACATTTACGAATGTACGTGTATCTTTCTTCCTGTTTGGAGTTTGCTGGCGAGTTCTTTTTGTACTCTTAATTGCCTTAATCGATTATTATTACTATTACGGATGGATCTGCATCCCCCTCTACTTTTGTGATATGAATGGATCCTTGAGCAATAGCGGTGCAAACCCTTTCTCGCCCCAGTAAGCAATTCCCATAAAATAAGACATGTTTTTTAGTACAAGACACCAGATACCTATCTCTGTCTACCTGTTCCTCTTGCGCTCTTATTTATTTATATAACAATGGAGTAAATTAATGTACCATCTTCCGGTCTTTGTACATGAGCGACGACCTAGATTTATTTTAAAGCAAACCCTTTTCTTGCTATTCATCCTATTGTGCTAACAAATTGAATATTAGGTGCATCATTGATGGAGCTGGTTAATTATTAGCTCCTCGGAATTATAATGACCATGTACGTATGGATGTAAATACGTAACGAAGACGATGTGTATTATTGAACTCCATTATCCTTAACAGCTTTATGAAAGGTAAAAACCCGGGTGCACTAACAACTAAATAAACCAAGAAAGAGTGTCGTGTAATACATATGACGAGGATAATATGGCATAACCACTTTAGTTCTCTAATAATAAATCCCTCTCGGCCCAAGGCCCTATTCAAGTATGCAATTTTAGTAAAGTGAGAAAAGAAGGGTTATGCATGTGTATGAGGAGTGTACGTATAGCATCATTTATTGGGAATTAAGGGCTCTAATTGCCCCATCAACAAGGAGCTGGCTCAATTATACCCTGGGTTCACCCTTCACAAAATCATAATCAATTAAAAGCGTGATACAATTCTAATGAAACTTGGACGACGCAGTGGTGTTGCCTATCTCATTGGAAATGTGATTAACCCGTTGTAACAAACAACTACGGGAGGATGGAGAAATGAATCCGTAATCTGATGGTGACGGTGACGGGCGGAGGGTGATATGGCAAAATGTATAAAGACGTTGAAAATTCTTTATCGATTATTAAGTCATTAATGGCTTAAAATGTCGGAATTTAATGGGGGGATAATTGGCCTTTCAGTTGTTATTGGCAGTCCGTCAGTATATTCACAGTGGAAGTTAAGTCTGCATAAATCCAATTAAGTGCCTGATTCTACAAGACGTACGTGAATCTTTTCCAAGTGAAAATACCCCCATTAAGATTTGGTCATAAAAGATAAAATGCCATCACGTGGATAAGCAAGTGGGTAATAAAATTAGTGCCAGAGAATGGGGCGAGCGAGTGAGTGATTGGAAAATTGATAAACGATGAAGTTTGCTGCCCAGGTAAATGGAAAATATTGTGGCACAGTGCAGATTATTTGTAGTGATTTGCTCAACTTGACTTCTTGTTACAAAAGTGTACATGATAATTGTCCATTGTACAATAAGTAATACATAATGGGCTTTAAGATACCACATCATATGCCGTACAGTGATGTGGCAGGGGCACATACATGCATATCCTATAAGAGCGGGCAGAGAGTGGACCTAATTGATCAGTATCTTTTAGTTGGCAGTTATTAGGATATAGAATTGGATTGACAGATCCATTAATTTTTAAACTGACTTAACAAGTTCATTCTTCAACAATGGTTATTATTGTTACAATCACTGCCCCACCAAAGCACGTCCACTACATGTGTACGTATGTGCATTTATACTTGTACGTACGTACATAAACCACCGCATTTAACGGCGTACTGGCAGTTTACATTATCAAGCGCTACAGTCATAGGACGTGGCAAGTGGATGGATTGGGAGTGAGTGGGATGTAATTGTTGTAATGATGATAAAATTGTAATGTGTCTGTAATAATAATGGGAGGTAGTCAGGTTAAAAGGCTTTGAAATCAAGTTAAAATGAGTGAGCTTCTGTGGGCACACAAAGGCTTTTATGAATTTGTTTTTCAATTCAATTTGTGGAAGGGTATTAAAGTCAGGTAGCCACTTGGAGCCAAGTTGAATGATTGAGGAGAAACTGATAAGCAACTCTTCCTTTTTTCTGACGTGGCTTTTGAGAAATCATTTTTCCTGCTCTACGATTTGTGGCCGTGTCATTAATTGTAATACATATGCAGTTCTTTGCCTTGGAGCTTATCACGGCTAAGAAGAAGTCGTCGCAGCAGTGCATGGTAGTTTTGACAGTGTATTTATGTATCTACTTAATATGCCAAATAATGTAGACTCTCCTCGAATTGCATAATATGTACGTATGCCAATACTTACATATAACACAATGGCAATGAAGAAATATCTCGCTAAAAATGAATAATCAAAAATTTTCAAAAATAGAGTGCATACATTTACCATTGGCGAATGTAGAAAAAATTGTCGTCTTTGAACCATATTTCTTCGTTATTTATGCACATTTCAGTCAATTTTTTCCAAACTCTCAACCACATTGAAAGACGTATAATTTGTACTGCCGTGGCTTCATTTATCCACTTTCTTTATTTCTAGCCCAAAGAGGAAATTGGATTTTGAGAAATCAAAAACCTCCTGCTGACACCATAAAGATGAATTTATTGCGTTGGTTCATATTTGCATCCGTTCAAATATTTGATTAAACTTATATCTTCACAAATAGGGCGTAATGGCATATATAGCATTTTTCCTCTTAAATTTAGTGAGAATGAGTGTGAGTTTGCCTTAAATTCATTAATATATACACATTTATTTTAGATAATTAGTTCAAAGTGAATAATTACAAGAATTAAATTTAGTAAGTGAGGCAATTTGTTAATTACAGCAAGCAAAAACTTGTTAAACAAGTTTTATCCGAGTGAGTGGTAGGTTGAATTTAATTATGGGTTCAAAATGTAATTTGAAGTTTGGGGTTGAGACTTTTTGACAAGTGCATAGATGGAATTTTGCGGTGGTTGGGTAAGAAAAAAAAGATTAGTGCGTCTCCTCTAGAAACTCTCAAGTCGCGCAGGATAGGAGAGAAACTGAGGAAAAATGCTGGCATAAAGGTAGATGAGTTAATTAGAGAAAAGTTTTCAATTTATTCGGTTCGGCACAAAACCAAATTTATTTAAGGAACACAGTCTCCACATTATTAAGGAAGAATAGAACAATTTGAATTTCATTACTGGGATTGCTTGCTTGGAGTCAAAGCGGGTTTTTGAGAAGGGACTCTCTGAAGAACGACTTGATTTTCCCCTGGCCCTCGATTAAGCCCGAAACTTCTGAGAAGCTCGAGAGTCCGTACGGAGAGTACAATAAGTGGGAGTTATAAAGTTTAGATTTTTGGTGGTTTTTGGCTGGCGAGGCAGCAAGGCGAGAGAGGGAGGAAAGCTAATCTGTCTCTTGAGAGGAAGGAGAAGCGAGGAAAAGTGCTTTTTACTTTTTCCTCAAATTTTCAAATCTAATCTAGTGCGGTCCCGTCGGGCGAGCACTCACTTCATCCTTCTCACAATAGTCTGCAATTAAATTGCCATTCACATCCACAGACTTCTTGCCACGACCTTTCTCTCGCCTCCACCGCAAAAAAGTTTAACTTTGTGAGGGTATTTTACTAATTTGATGTTGATTTCCGCTCATTCTTCGGCGTAATCTAATGGACTTGGTGCTCGTCTAGAAAATAAATTCCTTTTCACACTTTTTTCAGTAGCCAACAAAGTTGCGAATGGCTGGTTTTTTGAGATTTTACAGCGTTCCTGTTCTATGTATGTATGAGAGCATTGAACGCCCTGCGCAAGATTTTCATTTAAAGTAAACGTTACGTGTGGTATTATACAATTACGGGATGAATGAATCGTAAATATAAAAAAAACTATGAATGCTAGCTGAATTGACCACTAAATATAATGCATTTTGCCTCGATTAATTCCCTCAGTTAAAATAATTTATGATCTCCTATTCCGACTGAATCAATGAATAATCCATATTTCCTGGCCACTAATAACAAGGCAAATTTTAACCAACAGGTCTGGTTTCAAAACCGTCGTGCAAAATGGAGGAGACAAGAAAAGATGGAAGCCGCTCGTTTAGGTTTGTGCGAACGAATGAATTGAATGTTAATGCTATGAGCATCTCAAGTGGATGGAATTCTGGAGCTTATTTTAATTTATTATCCCCCAGGTCTGGGTGACTATCCACTCTCAGCCCTGGGTCGAAGTCCCGGCGGTTCATCTGCAAACCAGGCAGCAATGGTAAGTTCATGTTCTTATTTTGCTCATGCATTTTATTAAGTTGTTTGAGCTCAAATAATTTTGGTGAAAGTTAATCATTTGAAGAAATCGAGAATTTCTATTGTCCTATGTCGTCATTTAATGAAACCTAAAATTTTTGCAGGCTGGGTTGCTGGGGGCCGCAGCGTCTAACCAGGCAGCTCTTTCATTTATGACTGACCCTTGGTTGGCAGCATCACCCCTTTTGGGCTCCACACTGTCCCACGCCCTCCCTGGATTCCTATCACACCCAAACACTTGCTACCCCAGCTACTTGACCCCCCCTACGTCTGCAGGTAGTCTCTTTTCAGGAAGTCACCATCACCACCACCACCCACACCACCACACCACTCTCATTGAACCCAGAAGCGGAGTGAAGTTGAACTCCCCTCTGACCGCTCACCACCTGAGCCCCATCAACACGCCGACCACGGTTGGAGGGGGTGGAGGGTCACCGGGGGCCACCAACTCCGACTCTAGTCCAATGGGCCGATCATCCAGCATTGCAGCTTTGAGGATGAAAGCAAAAGAACATATCGAGACCCTGTCCAAAGTCATTCAAATTACTTAAATATTTTGGCAATGATGGATCTCTAAGAAATTGGTGGTTTACACCCGCAACAACCCCACATTACATACATAAGTATATCATACAAACACGTTAATCACGTATAGATTTCCCTGGGCATGTTAACTTGTATGTATTTATTTAACCATAATCTAACAATAATAATATAATTCGTAGGGGTACTTAATAGTTGGGTGTGTTGAATAGAAATGTTACTGTAATAAATTATTAAAGTGCATATGTCATGACGTAGAAAACCAATGAATAAAGCTGTGAAATTATTATTCGTTGTAAACTATAGATGAGTGACAATATTACAATCTCCACAAGTATATTTGACGAATCATTTGTAGCAATTTTTGGTACTCGTTAACTCGCGAATTGACAGAATGGGTCGTCACTCCTCACTTCCTCAGTAGCAAAGATCGTGTACTCTCATTTTGTCTCACTGAATTCTTGTGAGTGAAGAGTCAAATATTGAGTTAGTTGACATCAAAGGGACAGTCTGTTTTAATTCCACTTTGTCTAAAGGCAGTTTACACACAAGCAAATGCTTATATAAAGCAATAAAATGCTAATTCATGTTGACTTTACCTAATCAACCGTTTTCCTATCCCATTTCACCCACCCTTTAAAGCAACCAAGAAGGCGGAATGCTTTCTCCAGAAAAGGAGCTCACTATGTACTATTAATTTCGTCGCAGTCAAACAACAGAGCCAGCTTCGTTATAGCCTCCTGCTTCCTTTCCTCTTCTTTATCTTTACAACCAGTCGACTCTCTTCCTCTCCATTCTCGCCAAGCTAACCGACTCCCACGTCTCATGTCATCTCATTATAGGAAAGGGTTCAACTCCATGTCCATCCAGGGTGGATCATCCATTTACTGGAAGGCTGCTTTAGTGCGTTGGTTGGACAGCGCTTAAAAATTAGCCCTACATTCGCTTGCTTTTAATTTTTACGTTAAAATTAAGTATAATTATCGTGATCAGTACTAATAAAGTTTAAGATAATAAAATATTTCATAAACAGGGGAGCAAAATGTATATCGCTCACCATAGCACGCACTTTGAGTGTGAAAACGTGTGCCAGACCAACGGTTTCCCGTTGGACACAAAATGCAGGAGTAAAGCACTTGGGACAAAAAGCATGTCGCACTCAATCAGATGCACATGAGCTCATCTCTTTCTCTGTACACTTTTTAACCCCGAATGGAATACCTGGCTAGCTAGTGAGAGGAGACCCAGCTTTTTCCTAACAATAATTCCATTTAATCCTTACACACATGCATTACACACACTACAACAAATCACGTAATATTGCTAAACGGAAAGGCAGGAAGAGCACTTAGGCTTCCTCTGTTGTAAACTAATGGACCAATAATTGAGCCACATTATTACGAGGGCCTTTGACGCGAATGACGCGAACCGTTCTTGAATTGGAGACATTTTTACTTATTTGCGACAACAAAAGAATGGACCCCCTCTGCGCCAAAGGAAATTCCATAATGTGAAATTAGCAATTGAATTTTAAAGGTAAATACACTTCATATTTTAAGAAAATGTGGAAAGCATGGTAGGTTTTCTTGAAATAGGTACACGACGCAAGTCATTACTGAACATTATGACACACACTATACTGACTGTACCAAATCAAATTAAGGCAGATAAAAAAATCTAAGGAGCTATCTGTCCAAATAATCTCATTTCATGCATTTCATTCGATCCTGTTTGCACACTAAATTGCGTTTCAATCGAGTACATAGAATTACTTTGAGGATTATATCCAGGTGGAAATTGTGTCGAGATGGTTCATAGCGAAGCATGTGTGCTCCAAAAAGGTAACAACTTGCAGTATGGGACATCATTACTACTAATCAAAAGCATATGATTACGTAGCGATAAAAAATATCAGATCGCAACCTCTTCATCAAAATTGGGACCTAGATTGTATCTTTGATGTTGACGAGCACTTATAGTTCTCCTCTTAAAAAGGTAGAAAGGATTATAAATGTGTATAAAAAGTAGACAAATGTAATCCCCTTAAAAATTTGGGATATTTGGGGATTAGTTCTAGCACTTGAAATAACCACAAATCCCTACATTGAGTGAAAATGGTTCGCATCGATTAGTCGTCGCATATTACAAGCATGCACGTACATATGTAAAGATGCGCACATGCATATAGGGCCTAAAAAATTACCCCCATCTATGAATACGGCTCATGCAGGTCAAGCGGGATGAAATTAGCATCGAATATAAATATATAATTATTTAGTTATGAATTACATTTGTCACAACAGGGTCGGAAGTTTTTGTTATTCGTCAATTTTGCGTTTCGACTTGCTCACGGTTTGCTAATATGTGAATCTTGACTCTTGAACCACGTTCAGTCAGTCTCGGTTTACACGTTTTGCATATTCACTAATACTTTGTTCTTGAATAATTTTAAGCTGGTTTTACAGATTCATAAATATGGCATTCCCACAACAATCAATCTTCATTGCACACAAATCGTTGTGTGTATGCATATATAAATTGTGAAATGTGACAATAAGCGTTCATAATGATGTCTCACTCATGAAAATAATGACATGGTTGTGATGAAAACGCAAAGGTTACAATCGTGGAGGACTTGAAGGGATTAGCAGCAGCGGACAGTGGCCGTAGAGAAAGGGTTGCAATAATGTAACCCTTTCTTTCCTCCCATTATATTTTCACTCTCAACAACCACCACATTTACTTCACATTTATTTTCCTTGTTCATGGAGGTGACATTATGGTGCGGTGATAATAACATACATTTCTCACATCCTGCAATTCAATATTTGTGATAAGAAGACCAGCAGCACAAGCAGCGCTGGAGGGGGAGGAGCTACCAACAAAGTGTGATAATGGTAATAAACAAAATGCCAGTAAATAAGCGAGATAAGTTCAAGTAGCAACTTTAGTAGCTGTTTGTCACAAAACAAAACCGAAATATGTCATTTTGCATTGTGTGAATGGGTCGAGATAGAGCTTTTAGTTTTGAGGCATTGTCAACGCCCGATTGTTGATTGTCGATATCCCCACGGTTTATTATTATAGTTTGAATGATGATGAAGGGGTAGTGCTCACACCACTACTACCGACATACTTACTACTTATATGCATTTAAATGCAGAGCCCATGGAACAACTGGGGTACTTTACGACTACTTATGAAACGACGATGCTGCTAATCCTCGTGTGACGATGAAGGGAATTCGAACCGAATTGACAAGGCACACGCTCCCACCCTTCAACAGATTTAGTATTATTAGCCTTCGGCACTTATTTTCTGCATCTAACAATAATTTACAACTTTGTTAAAATGGATAGAAAACATACAAGGTATGAACGGGTGGATAAACTGAATAGCTGCGTAGTGTATGTACATGCATACAAGCAACATGCCTCAAAAGTATGGTCTAACCGGGGGAATGCCCGAGCTTGTTGTACAGTTTGGTGGTCTGGTCAGTTTCCAAGTTTTTAAAACGTATAAAACAACACTTTGTCTATAATCAATTTGGTGATAGACGGAGAGTGATTTTTCAATTAATTGATGCATATGAATTTGACATAATACATACAAATGTATGTCTATGTATGAAATAATGAGGGAACTCACGTCACAGTTTGTAACCTTCGTAACTGCGTAAGGTTTGTAAGCTTACAAACTTTTACAAACTTTTACACACATTTCTAAGGAAAATTGACTTACGAACTTTTACGAAACTTACGCACTTCAAAAGCATGTTTTTGGTTCGTAAATAAAAGTTCGTAAATAATTCAAGTGTTTGATATTTGCATTTTCGGTTGAAATTGTCTTAGAGATGAATTGTCTATTGTAAATTTTTCATCATCATGCAAATTAATTTAATTACTCAAACAAAAGATTGCTCCAGCGGAAAATATTGGTCGCTATCCGACCAGCCCCCAAATGTCAAATCTGGGCTAAATTGACACACTTCATCCAGTGGGGTGTCAATCGATCGGTCTTGATCATACGATCATTTTGGTATATTATAGAATTTTATGACTTAAGAAATGGCTTTGTAATTCCTGAAAAACTGATATTTTGGGCAAAAAAATTCAAAAATAATTGCATTTTATTTGGTCTAATCTAGGATAAAGTTGGCTAGCAGCATTTTGATGACGTTTTATGTACGATATTTTTTTCACTAAAAAATGTTTACGAAAATGTTTACAAACTCAACTCACGTCAAGAGTGTGTAAACTTACAAACCTAACGCAGTTACGTAGGTTACGAACTTGACGTGAAATCCCTCAATATGTGACTCTTTTTGCCATCTTTTAGCCGTAATGGGGTATCTCAATATAATAAATTATTATTAAATTATTACACACATTAGGTAAAACCTCCTCCGTAAAAAGCTCGGACTCACTGAAAATGGTGACATTTATACGAATAATATAATGCCAGTTGGATTATACAAACAATATGATATACAATTATTTAATTAATGTGTAATTGCTGCATTTAACTCCAGATATTTTACAAGAAGACCTATGTATAAAGTTACTAAGCCATCGATAAATGGCTTAGCTTTTTCATTCAAGAAAGAATTCGTCCAGTCGAAATTGTAAACTTGTTTGCTAACGAAACCCGGGTTTTATTGAAATTTCTAGATGGCGACAACTGACAACTTGCTGTTTGCTCGGAATAATACATAGTTGTGAGAGTTGTTATAGCATAACGTGATGCTTGCAATTTGTTACTCCAAATCCATTTTCATATGAACTAACCGGGATGATAATTTGGCAAAGTCCAACTCCTGTGATTTTGCTTATGATCTCACTTCCTTGAATACATACAAAACAATCTAAAACATGTGACGTAGATTCTCCGACCCATCAAGCAGGAAATAAGACTTGAGAAATCTAAAAAGTTCTGACGATGACATTAGAATACGAACATATTTAGGATGAAATAATGATTTGAAATCTTATAGTCATTTCTGTACTAGGCGCACATATGGCTAAGGATTTGAATTACATTATACTTAAGCTTGGGTATATCCGAAAGAACTATGCTTTGCAACTTTGCTGTCACAGCAGATTCACAATATCAAACACTAAATACGTATGCTGACGGATGATGATGATGATGAAATGAAAGATGAGGACATGAGGATTTGATTTTGAAACATTATTAGAAATCCTAGATTTGAGTTGTTTTTATCTCGAGCGACGTAGGGACGCAATGACAGAATGAGAATCCTTGTGGGTGGTCTTTGAATTTCTAAAACAGGAGTGCATCCAGC